GGGGGGGGGGGGGGGGGGGGGGGCTCCTCCCAGCCCCACCTGTCCAGGTCCCACTGCCATCACCCACGTGAGCGCCACAGTCCCCCAGCAGAACGAGGGAGTCCCCGCCAGGAGCGCTCTCCAGCACCCCCTCCAAGGACTCCAAAAAGGCCCCGAAGTTGCACGAATGTTCCCCCTTCGGCCCCTCTGAACTCCCTGCCTGCCTGCCTGCCTTAAAACCCAGGTGTGGGGAGAGTTTGGAGGGGCCGTGCGGGGGGGGGGGGGACTTTTGTGCATCTTCGGTGCCATTGTGGAGTCCTTGAAGGGGGTGCTGGAGAGCGCTTGTGGCGGGGACTCCCTTGTTCTGCTGGGGGACCGGCATCCTCCCCCTCCACCGGAGCCAACCCACCACCAGGCACTGGGCAGCTGTCAGCCCCGCCCCCCTCTCCACCCAAGTGTCCAAAACACGCGGCCGCAGACCAGATGAAACAACAACAAAGTCAATCACAGAACAGTGGCCCAGGGTGTCCTGGCGCCAAGAGCACACATGGACATCCCCACGCCTGAACATGGTGCCCACCACAGACAATCCATGAAGCCCAACACACAGAAGCCCAGCAACAAAACACCGCTCGGGCTCAGATCGAATGTCTCCCCCCCCACGGCCCCTCCGAACTCCCCTCCTGCCTGCCCTAAAACCCAGGCATGGGGAGAGTTCGGAGGGGCCGTGGGGGGGGGGGGGGGACTTTTTGCGACTTCGGGGCCTTTTTGGAGTCCTTGGAGAGGGTGCTGGAGAGCGCTCCTAGCGGGGACTCCCTCATTCTTATGGGGGACTTCGGCGCTCGCGTGGGTGATGGCAGTGGGACCTGGAGAGGCGTGGCTGGGAGGAGCAGCCCCGACCCGATCTGAGCCCGAGTGGTGTTTTGTTGGGCTTCGGTGCTCGTCATGGATTGTCTGTGGTGGGCACCATGTTCAGGCGTGGGGCTGTCCATGTGTGCTCTTTGCGCCAGGACACCCTGGGCCACAGTTTGGTGATAGACTTTGTTGTTGTTTCATCTGGTCTGTGGCTGCATATATGATGCTCTGGTGGAGAGGGGGGCGGAGCTATCGGCTGGCCAGTGCCTGGTGGTGGGTTGGCTCTGTTGGTGGGGGAGGATGCCAAAGTCCCCCAGCAGAATGAAGGAGTCCCCGCCAGGGGCGCTCTCCAGCACCACATCCAAGGATTCCAAAAAGGCCCCGAAGTCGCACAAATCCCCCACCCCTACAGCCCCTCCGAACTTTCCAGTTTCCATGCCCTTTTTAACTTGTAATTTATTTAAATTAATTATGAACATTTGTTTAACCTCAAAAGTAGTTTTTTAAATTAAATG